GAAACCTAGCTTGCTACGCTTTGCTGATGCAATTGCTATCAAACAACTTAAACCAAATCTATGTACACAGAAAGAGACAGTGGTGAATCTTGCACTACCCTGGTGATAACAAAAAAATATACAACTTTCATGAGTCGCCTTTTTCATGTTTAGAAAACTCTACTCTCTCACCTAAACATGACTCACCCTACCATGTTTCTTTTCTTTTTTTCTATTGGCTATTAGATAAGACATTTTCTTTAGTTACGTAATCTACCTTTTTTGTTATGCTCTTTCTAGCTAAACCTTGTTTCTATACACACACATATATAAATACGCAACTCTGTTTTTTGTTTCCAAGCCTAATTGTCTCATTATTCTATAAATAGTCAGTGTTTGTAACTCTTAATTAGTTAAATCATTCCGGACTAATGTTACTTTTACATCCTACCAACCAATTACTCTTTGTGATCGTGGAAAAGTATGTTCATATCTTTAGTGTAATTCATATACTTTTTATCGTTCAGGTTGTAACCAGTTGAGAAGAGTCCTCGAAATAATAAAAGATGAGCTCATATTGTGGTGAGATCTGGCTGCTAGCCAAATTGGTAGACAGTAATTTACCTCAATGTTTATGTCCCTAATATTGGTCATGAGAAAAATAAGAACAAAGACTGATTCAACAACCAGTCACAGCACACTTTGTGTATGCCGATACAATTAGCACATAGATGATCTGACATTCAAGAAACAGTCACAAAGAGATGAAAGATATAATAATGTACATGAAGATCTGTAAATATGTGTTGATTTCCTTAATAAACGATCTGCTTGACTGGCCCTTGTCTTTTGCTGTTACAATATTATCCTGGTACATTTGTTGTTCTTGATTTGTTCAAGTTTATTAATGGCAAGAATTGCATGAAATCTAAATTTGATCAAATCCATACGAACCAACATGGAGAAATTTGATTGCATGGAGGATTTAATCATGAGCTGACGTCAGTTAGAGAACCACTGGAAAACCTGGGAGTACTGGACAGCTGTTTCGTCCTAGTTTGGGACTCTTCAGCAGTACGCACCCACCGGGGTTCGAACCCAGGACCTTCTGGTTACAAGGCGAGCTCGTAGACCATTGAGCCACTGGGACCCGATCCAATGGTTCTTGAATTCTAACTTCTGCCAATTCACGACATAGCGCGACCACTTCGCAATGTCTTCTTCGATGAGTTACTGCCTTATCTTCGACCTGCTGTACCCTACTGGTCACGGCTTCCCACTAGAGCCCCAGGTTAACTGCCTGAATAGGGAAAGTCACCAGTGAGAATCAGATGAATTTTCAAGTGTTGGTTTTTGTAAGGATTTTGTTTGATTGCATGGAGGATTTCATCATGAGCTGACATCAGTTAAAGAACTATTGGAAAACCTGGGAGTACTGGACAGCTGTTTCGTCCTAGTTTGTGACTCTTCAGCAGTACGCACCCATCGGGGTTTGAACCCAGGACATTCTGGTTAGAAGGTGAGAAATTTATTGAGTGGTTGATCAGTGATCGATCAATTCTAAAGAATCAACCTATGAAATTTCTAACCAAATATCGAAGACCAAAACGCCCAATATCAAGACAAGTTATTTCTTATGCTGATACAATATTAGTCTGACTATCGGGCTTATAAAGCCTCACAGCGAGAGATTCTCAGTTGTGTCTATGAAACCTGACCTCTGATAACTTCTGTCATTCCGTAAGGTTACTTGTATGGAGACAGTATAACATCATGAAAGTAAATTTGAAATCTCATGAAGTCTGTTTGAAATTTTTCACACATATAAACTCAGGAGTAGACGGAATCCAATTCACTTCTGAGTTAGAAAGCGAACAAAGTGAGTTGGCCATGCTAGACTGTAGAATAAAACGAAAACAAGACGGCGGGTGGGTTAGATACTAGCATTTACAGGAAACCGACACAAACACTCTAAAAATAAATACTCAGACCTTAATTCGTCTCATCCAGAATTAATAAAGATAGGTTTAGTTGAAGGTCTATATAATCAGGTCAGGAGGCCGACTGGTAAATCAGAACATTTAAATACTGAAATCGAACAAATAAAGAAAATATTGCTAGTGAATAACACACACACACACACTGCCCACCAGAATGTATGAAAAACCATAGGAAAACTAAGATTACTCATGAAAATGACGAAGAATACAATATCGAATTCACAGGGTGTTTGGTGTTGCTGTAGAAAGAAGGAACGTCAGAGGGGTGAGGTTAAAGACATCCAGTTATCAGGGAAAGGAAAGACTAATAACTGCTTCTTTTTGAACTCATAAATCTGGTTTGAAGCGTTTTTATAATCTATAATTTTGCTTGTCTCTTGTTTTTATGACGTAAGTTTAACTCAGTACATCGTTACCTAATTTATTAGTTACTTATCATCTTACTTACCTCTCGTCTTTATTACGTAACTCCTTTACGATTGTATGCATACATTTAATTTATTGTTTAAACTTGAACTGCCTGTGTAAAAACTGTGTAAGTGCAGTTTTCTGAGCACTGTTCACTAATTGTGGAACTGTCTGTCAACTGATAGCATGTAAAATTTGCAAGTATCTTAAAACTTTTCTGTACGTAAACCTCATAATTTATTTAGGCCGCCTGTAAGCAGCTGATGAAAAGCCAACGAAATAAATGATGGTACCATATTATTCTGCACAAACCACCACTGTTGTTCTTGCTTTATTCAAATTCATCAAGGGGAATAAACGCATGATGTTGTGGATTTGATTGACTGGTGAAGTCATATTTTGGTTTGACCACCGCTAGCTCTTTTCCAGCCTGATCCTATGTCAGCTAACATCGCCTGTCGAGGAAGGTAATGACTAGGCAGGCAGGCATACGTAGAGCATGTCTTAACTATTTCACTCAAATGGTGTAACTTCAAAACCTCGTCGATTGATTTCCCCTCAATCCTCACCTAGCACTCGACCGAAACCTAACCTCAATTTTGCTAACCTTATTATATCACTTCACACGGAAGATAAAACATAAGCACTCAAGATCAAAGACAGCTAGTCTTTTCATGTCTTTCACTGGTCATGTCTCACTCACAGCAACAAAGGAGGACTGAGCTAACTGCTGCTGTGCAGTACACACGCCTTTTAGTCGACAGCCAGTCACATATCACGTCCACCAAACGAGCCTTTTGTATCCGTGCTTAGATTTTGTCAGTGATCAACCCTCTGTCGCTGGCTGATGAAACCTCCCAAATAAGTGAGGCGGTCAACACTTTCTACCAACCAATTCACTCCCTATGTTTAAACTCGGAGTCAGTGTAGTCCAGTCTGGTAGCATCATCTTACATTCGACGGTTACGGGATGGGCTGCTTGTTAGCCTCACATTTAAACTTCTCCCCATTACCTGGCTTATTACTATCGGCTGATAAATAAAGAGAGATCTAGGAATGTGACCTATGGGCATCGAAATGTCCCCTAAAGATGTGAGTGATTGGCCAGTATTCAACCATTGATGCCACTCACAGGATAAAAATAAAATTAGGGGAACAAATTTGTTTAAAAATGGATAAAGGACAGGAGAGAAGCAACAGTTTTCTATCCCCGTCAGTGCATCTCCAAAGAAATATCTGCCATTCCGTAAATTTATTAATTCTAGGAATGTTCGAACGCAGAACACTAATGGGAAGAGCAAATAACATAATACGCAGAAACAGATAAATCTGAAGTTTTTGTTTGAAATCAGTTATTCAAAAGGAGATTTTCTTCACTTACTAAACTATGAGTCACACACATTGTGTAAGGTATGGTGATATCGCCCACTTACCAAGGTAGGATTAAGTGTGACGGAATTCGAAGCCAGGACCGTCTGAACAAAAACCGAATGCTTAGGCCAATGAAGTCATCTCCCTATCAACCTAGAGAGTTCCCATACTTGAACAAAACAAAGACAAGTGCACATATACTAAAAGGGCCTGGAGACAGACGTCAGACACTCCATCTCTCTTCCGATTCACCTGATCACTTAGGGCTGCGTCACACACGAGGCTGTTCTTCACGATTCTCAATTGAATATTCGCTACTACCATTAGGATCTGCGTTTGTTGTTATCTCATCTAGGCTTACGCCAGCCATCGCGACCCTCTCACTCCTTGACGCTACTCTATTCCTGGACTAAGTCAGTTTGGCCTCGATCTGCTTGCAGCAATGTCACGGTATAGGTCCAACGCTAAAGTGCCAACCTTTTCAGGGATGACTGATTCGGCAGGTGAGTTGTAAGACACTCCGACTCCCATAGCCACCTTTTTTTCGTCTGAACCAACCAACACCTATTATAGTATCTTATGAACGTCACGTTAAACACCATAATCCCGCTTTTGGTTCATCCTTCATCAGCACTCCTACTTACCGAAACTAGTCAGCTTGATACTCGTGTTCAATGCTAAACTCTATTCAGGCGAGTTAATTTTCACACCCATTTAAAGTTTGAGAACAGACATAGGGTGTTTTCTCCCCAGTGCCTCTAGCTATTCGTTTTACCCCACGAAGTGTTCAGCTATCTAGAGGGAAATTCTGGAGGGAACCAGCTACCAGAAGGTTAAATTAGTCTTTCACCTGTATGCTTATGTTATAGGATTGCTTCGCAAGTCGAAATGGCTACGATTCTCCAGTGAAGTTTCGTCTAGCTTCAACTTTCGCATAATCCACTAAACATGTATGTATGTATGTATGTATGTATGTATGTATGTATGAATGTATGTATGTATGAATGTATGTATGTATGTATATATATATATATATATATATATATATATGTTGGCACGCATAACTACACACAAACCAATTAATTAATTCTCCAAAAGAGAAAGAAGAGTGAATTATTTTATATCGATTTTTTCAAAATAGATCTATTTAAACAAAGCAGATAATGGTGTAAAAAGAAGGAAGAAAGAGACAAACAAACAACTACACATACAATGTGCACGTACGTGGGTGTAAAAGCGTAATAATAATAATAATAATAATAATATTATTATTATTAATAATAATTCAAGTAATAAGAAATACTGGATATTAGCCATTAAAAAACACATACAGAGGAGACCCTTCCCCACCTACGCCCGCCGTGTAACCTCATACACCCGCTTCTCTTCTCCTCTCTTGTTTGAGAAGAGTAAAAAGCGGTAAAAAAAAACAAAAAGCTAAAACCAACAACAACACCGGAATAACCAATGATGAAACACACACACACACACACTGTATGCGTGCATATGCACAGATAAGAAGTTATTCATATTCATAATATAATTGTTTTTTTCATACTACCCTTCACCTCTGTACGAAATATTACACACTCATACACACACACACACACAAACACAGATACCTCCTCACAGATTTGACTTGGAATGAATAAAAACTCTGATTAAGATAGAATAGGGATACACAATGAATGATAATAGTTAGAGAAAGTTTACTAATGATGGGAAAGAGATACTCACGCCCACACATCCGCGCACCTACACCCACACACACACACAAGAGAAAGAGAGACAGGCAAACAGACAGACACACAGAGTCAAGGGTAGTACATCGAATCACCGTTCGCCGCTGTTTTCTTTCTAAGAACTCAAAAAAAAACATTAAAACAAACTATGTAAGAGAATGTCCATTTTCACACACACACACACACAGCCAAGTTACACAGAGATCTATAAATCATAAACTCAATAATTCATAAAGGCCATTTGCATATGTCTGAAGGGGAACAGAGATAGAGGAAAAACGAGCAAGAGAACGTGCGTCCATGACACACAGCGAGGGAGAGAGGCAGACAGTGAGGTGAGATATGCAGACGAACACGCGTTCACTGACAGTATACACGTTGAAACACTTAGTGATCTCCTAATATCTGAGGAGGATTTCAAATAAATATTTTGTTTTGGTATGGATTTCTGTTTTTAAAAATTATGGGGAAAAACCCGAATATATATTTGTGTATGCATGTGTGTATAAAAACGTCATGATGATATATTAAGATAATGTGGTTACTGAAACCAATATTAATATATTAAAGATCAAGAAAGGAGGAAGGGGCTGGGACAATATAGATGCGTGGAAACCAGACGTGTATAGATGTGCTCGTCATACATACATAACATTATATATAATGAAGAGAAACGCAACACCACCAGCAACATCAGATCTAATTTATGTGTGTTGATGCTGTGTGTGTATCTGCGTGATTAACTTTGAAAACAAAATACACCCCTCCCGACCCACCCACTTAGAAAGGGGGGCCTGGTGGTGGCAGTAATACAACGACAAGAAGAAAAGAACACAAGAGATGATTATGGAGTGGGGAAAGCTTCAAAGAAGTTTTCGGTGTAGAACACGTGCACCTTCACTATCATACTCTCGTCTTGATATCCACATTCGTTTAAATGTATCCAACGAGGCGAGAATTGATCCACCAATCCATGTTGAATATAATCGTTCTTGTGGAGCAGAAATTCTTAAATGAGCATCTTTTGGTGCTAAACGTTTCAACTCTAAGACAAGGCGATCACCAAAACCTTTAATAATTAAAAAAACACGTAATTATATGAAAAAGGTGAAAATAAAGATAAAAAATTCAATAATTATGATTGGGGACTAGTTAGTAACACTAGTGTGATGTGTCTAGTCCTCTCTATTTGGTGCAGACTGAATTCTATCAGTCACATTTGCAATATGGCCACCATTCTAGGTGGCTCGCCATCACGATACACTTTGAATTCTTGGTATCAGATGGCTGGAAGCAATTGACCACAGGAAGTCTTGGCTGTAGATAGGTTTCGTGCTAGTCAGCACTCGTCAGCGGTAACGTCTCTGACTGCAGAACTCATTGGGTGACGTGGGTTGGTATCTCAGACAGAAGGGACATTAATTCCTTCACTGTTGCAGATACGCCTTGTTGACTGGTGAGTACCAACTAGCACGGAACCTAGGTGAAGCAAGTCTTCCTGCCGATCGCTTCCAACCATATAATACCAATAGATCTTAATTAACCTGGAGATGGATTGGCCATACGTTGAGGAAACCATAAAGTGACATCACTAGACAAGCCATCGCTCGAGTGGAACCCGAAAGGGAAGCGGCGAGATGGTCGTCAGTGCAAGGGTGACTTGGAGGAGGTAATGTGAAGAGGAGATGAAAGCATGCGTGCAGGCGTGGAGCGCGGTGAAAATGTTGGCAGAAAACAGAAGGCAATGGAGGTGCGCAGCTGAAGCCCTATGTTCCTCTAGGAATTAAAGGATATAATAATGATAATAATAATAATAATAATAACCTGTGAGAAGATCTCCACATTGATTTCAGATTACTGAATAACTGTTTCGCTTTCTGCTAAACGACACCTTAATCAATACCGAGGGTAGTTGAAGTGATGCTGCCCAAATCAGTCAACTGGAAGTAACGAGTTTCTTTAAATTTCTCCAGTTGATGATGGTGATTAGTGAGAAGTCATGACCAGTGAGGTCCACTACCCGGTGGGGGGTGGAGACATTTAAAGGTGGTCGCACTGTCGATAACGAAATTATACAAGTTAGAATTCATACACCATTGGGTCGACTCCCAGTGGCTGAATGGTCTACAAACATGCTTTTTAACCGGGAGGTCTTGGGTTCGAAACCCAGTGGGTGTGTACTGCCAATGAGTTCCAAATTAGGAAGAAAAAACAGCTGTCCAGTACTCTCTGTTGATTTTCCAATGACACTTTAACTGATATTAATTCATGATCAAAACGTGAACGATAAATACTGTTACAAACCGGCATCCGTAAGGAGACCATAGGAAGTGTTTCGTCCCAGTTTTGAACTCTTCAGCACTAAGGGTAACTCGTGATCCCATGGTAGGGATATGAACCGGAAATTTTGAATGAAAAGATGACTACGTTATTCATTCAATCAATTAAAACAAATAGCATTCACTAACCTTTGAATAGGGTAGAACCACCTGACAGAACAATATTCTCATACAGTAAACGTCTTAAGTCCATATCAGATTTTTGAATTGCATAGGCTAATACCTGTAGATAGTACATAAAAAGAGGCATTATTCCACAATGAAATAAATTAAAATGATGATACTCGGATATTATGGGTGCTGTAGGGATTTGGAGATTTTTTTCGCAAACTAACATCAGTTAGAGGATCACTGTAAACCAGGGGAGCACTAGGCAGCCGACTGTCTCGTCCTAATTTGCGGCTCTCTGACAGTAAGCACCCATGTTCTCCTCGCCGACGATCGAAAATAGTATCTCTAGATTATGAGAACAGACGCCAGTGGACACTTCAGAGACAACCGATACCATCGACGAAGGTCTCCACTAATCCAAACAACCAGATTTAGCATAGGCATGATCAACAGAAGTTAGAATTCATAGACCAGGGAATTTTGACACAATGGTTGGATGATAACGTAATCGTGTTGTAACCAGAAGGTCCTGTGCTCAATTCCTGATGGAGTCAAGTGTATGTGCAATCGAAGCAGATGTCCAGTACTCCTTGGTTTTAAACAGTTGCTGTTTTATAAAATCTAGTTGTAAATTCTGTCACTTTTTCAACTTCACTTCTCATTCGTACAGGTTTAAATGCTGATCAACGTTTCTTCTGCTAAAATTCAAAATTTTCTTAGTAATTTTCTTCGCCTTGATACCATTAATAATAATACCAATTATTTTGAAAGTAAACTAACTGGTGGATGGTGACTAGCAGTGGGATCCGGGACAGCGTGCACTTCGTCCTATTTGGAACTCCTCATCCGAACGCACTCCCCATTCTCCAGCAAGTGATAGTGTTCCCTCCCTGATGCTCAAACCCAGTACTCTTAGTTTTAAACGCTAAAGCGTTATCCACTAGATTACTTGGGCCACGACAGCCACCTCTCGTGACCAACGGGTATCAGTAATTTAAACTATTGAATTTAGGCTTCCCAGTTGATTGATTAAGACCGAAGTCCTCGGCCTCAGCTTGACATGCGCATCCTAGATTCAACTGTCAGTCGCCATCCACCAATTTGCTTCAAGTTAGATAATCGAACTTCATCAGAGCATCGTCTGCACAAGCACTTTGGTTCAATCAGTTAATGGCAAAGTGCAAATTGAATTAAATTCTCTTTATTTATTCCATTCTATTTTATTGGATACGGTAGATGACATAAAGTGAATGCATCCGCGCCAGCCACTGACAACGATTTTCAGCCATATAATTATCACCACTAATGGTCTTCAGTCTTCATTGGTTCTTACTATCCTGAGGGCCCCAACCAGTCAGGATGCCTACACCTCCCTGGTTGGGTTGCTGGCTGGCATAAACCAACTGTTATGGGTTTGATTGACTAATGAAGCCATGTTTTGGTCTGATCACCATGTAATAAATCTTTTCCGATCTGATCTATCCTATGTCAGCTAGCATTAAGCGTCACGGAAGGTAGGTGATTGTTAGTCACGCAGGCGTAATACAAGTAAAAACCATCTTAATCGGTGTAACTTTGTAACGACAGAAGACAAGGCCCAGCCAACAGATCCTTTATTAAGGAAATCAACAGATATTTATAGATTTTCATGCACATTATTACAGATTATTGTTAACAGATAAACACAGTCTTCTGACTGGTTGTTTCTCACTGAAAGTTAATCTTTCATTTCTTTGTGGCTATTTTTTGAATGTCAGATCATCTAGCTGTTAATTGTATCCGCCTACGTAAACAAAGCCTACTGTGATTGGTTGTTGAGTCAGTCTTTATTCTTGTTTTCACATGACCAGTATTAGGGACATAAACATTGAGGTAAATTACTGTCTACCAATGTGGTGTCACACAAAATCGAAGACCTACAAGCGAAAATCGACAAACTGGTCAAAGAAGAAGCAAAGACAGGACTCCAGGTGAACATAGACAAAACGGAGGTGATGAAAATAACCAGCCAACAACAACATCAACATCCACCGCCAATCACCATCAACGGGAGGGATTTGAAAGAGGTTACTTCATTCACTCACTTATCTAGGGAGCATTGTCTCAACTACACGCAATCGGAACACACGAGGATGTCAAATCGAACGACAATCGGGAAGGCGAGAAACACACACAATCATCAACCTGAAACAACCAATCTGGAAATCTTCGTCACTCAACTCAGCATCAACAACAAAATTCGGTCGGATTTTCAACAGAAACACGTCAAGTTAGTAAGAGAAAGACAAAGACTGCTTTATGCGAGATTGCCTTAACTTCCTAACGTAGAACGTTAAGTGAAACATCTTTCTAGTAACTAGCAAGATGTGGGAGGACCAGGAAAGATCGGTGGAAAAACTCAGTCCAAGGTACTTTACATTAGATGTATTTTCAACCTCTATGCCATCAATGATAGTGGGGCCATGTGAGCTAACTAGTTGTTGTAGGTTGTTGAACTTAGTCGGTTTATAATTTTTCTAAAAAGTATGCGTTTTAAATTTTACAGTAATATATATATATATATATATATATTTCTTACCTGATGAATACCAAGATATTCTTGTCCCATTAAATCTGGTCGAAACAGTAGTTCTGGTGCACGAAATCTTGATGGACCTATTTCAAGTGTTGAACCATCCGGTAGAGGATATGAAGCCAGTGCTTCCACTGCTTCTACTTTACTTGGATTTAAACTGATGAAACATGCACGTTCCTACATGGGTTGCAGGTGGGGAGGGGACAGCAGGGGAGAGAATTAAACAAAACATTATGTAATACAGTTGAGTAGAAATGAAAAACTTATAGATGTATAGAGTTATATAGGTGTAGGGGTGTGTATGCTACTGACAGGATTTATCAGTAGTATAGAGACGCAGATTGATAGAGAGCAGCAGCCAAAATTGAAAACAACATTTTAAGTCAGTGGTTGCCTACAGACAAAAGTCAAAGTGTTGATTCCTCAAATCTGGATTTAGCGCTTACGTTGTGGTCAGGAAATAACCTTATTGGACAATTTTTGGTCGCAGGATTCAACATCTTAAGAAAACCAACAACCAACTTTAACGCGCTTTTCGATTAGTACCCTACATTTTCTCAGTTAGACTTCCTGGTTGGGGTCCTCCGGACGGTAAAAACCAATGACTGGAAACGATTGGTGATATGACTCAAAGTGATCGTTCTAAATGGCTGGCTGAGATGCATCCACTACTTGTGACTTATGATTTCCAATGAAACTGTTTTGTTCTTCGTTATTACTATTCCTTTGTCTCACACCTCTGTTTACTGTCTCTAATATGCATTTCTTCTACTTTCTTCTCTTGCTTTGTGTTCTACATGGAGGGAGTGTGGTGACTTGAACTGGTGCACGTGGGTGCAAACTTCTATGTCGAAAACAGACAGAAAGATAGTTAAATAAAACTCTTATTTCTCTGACGTTTAATTGCCAGGAAGTTGTGGAACTTATTGTAATTATTTGGCTCGCGAACACTGAATCTGTGGATATCATCTTGTTAACCGATAATACCTATAACTAACTGTGATTGGCATTTTATGACTGTCTAACACTAACTAACTAATATCTATAATTGTATATATTGATGGATTTACATGTCTAAGTCGACCCAAGTTAGTGAGTCTATGGTTTTGATATCATTAACTGCTACGGTTTTTTGTTGTCGCTGCCCTTCCTGTTGTGATTTTTTTCCTTTCGCTGGTGTGTTTCTGATTGCTTTATTCCTTGTTTTTCTGATTCTAAAGGGAGCAACCCATAAAGTCGCTCCAAATATACATGTAATAACCCCTTTTCTCAGGCGTGAGACAACCACATGCACACCGAGGGCGTGGCTATCATGATGTCACTAACAGCAACGAAAACCCTGATACAATGGGAGGCGATCTCGTCCAGGATAATCACCGCCAGATTCAACTCCAAAGGTAGGAGAAAGTGTCAGTTTTACAATGCTATGCACCTACAAACAACGTCGACCTCGAAAAGAAAGATGAATTCTACGGGCAATTACAGGCAACAATGAATAATACTCCAGTTAGTAGCAATAAAATACTAATGGGAGACTGAGACCAGACAACACGGGGAAGAGAACTCATTCAAGGGTAGAGAATCTTTCGGAGAAATGAATGAAAAATGGAGAACTCTTCGCTGACTTCAGTGCTTGCATGGAACAACCAACCAGAATAGTCTATTATTAGCTGACCTAAGCGACCTTAAGTGTGGCTAAAATGAATAAATTTGGTGTGTTTTTTAATTATTATGCTTATTATTACTTTTATACAAAAGGCTTGTTTGACATTTACCAATTTCTTTAACTGATGGGAAATTCCCATTGTTGACCAACTCTACGTGTGTTTATCAATTCACCTTCTCGTGTGGAGCTAGCTAGGTGTATCGGTCGTCCGACTTGAGTTTTGTCCAAGCGGGTTCAAGAACACTCTCCTGTATGGTAGTTGCGAAGAGGTGGAAGTGGAGCAATAAGAAGCGCCATCACTGAATAGAACATCTGGTCGATAATAATCACCTTATCTCTATAGCCTCCGCCTTTAAAGTTATCTACAGGGCAAAGAGCAATTTACTCAAATCCCTACGTACCCGACTCATCTATTGTATTGCTGAAGCCATCTTTGGCTATCGAAACAGAAAAGCCTGATCTCTGTGCACAGAAAAAGTTCGTTCAACCCTTCGAACTTTCGTGGTCTTAATCCCTCTATGCTAAAATATGATAATCCCCAATCATATTTTAGCTCTACCAATTTTTCATTTTGTCTATTCAATTTGTATACTCTTCCTTATTAAGTCAATTGTTATTATTACTATTCTCACTTTGAACTGTCCCCGGTATTATTTCACTTGTTCCACTTGTCATTCTAAATCAATTCTTTTTACAACGATAAATTCTATGCTATTAAATTTCACACAATATTACGTAACGTTTTTTGTTTTATTCGATTTGTCTACTAATCCTACCATAATTGCACACCTTTTTCAAGTTCTATCCCTCCTATGAATTATTCTATATATGACATTAATTTGCTTTGCCACTTGACATTTAACTATGAGTATAATCACAAACATTTTAGTTTTTTAATTGCATTTCATATTACTATTATTATTATTTTATGCATTCACACCTATGATTCAATTCCCTCACCGGATATAACTTCTTAAAAACCATATATATACACGGCTGTACAGCTTGATGATAAATTCGTTGTTGAAAAGAGTCTCGTCGCTGAATGGATCACTTGTTTTGATTTTAGCAATTTACGTCATCATCTCTGAAGTAGACATGGTAAGTGGCCACCGAACGGAAAACGCGTGTAGTGGTGGTGCACAGCAGTTAACTCCGTCCTTCTCTATGACTATGAGACGTGGGTGTCGATAGTGAAAGATTTAAAGAGGCGAGCTGTCTTTGACCACATAGAGTGATTAATATTGAGGTTAGGCGTCGTGTGTTACATAAAGAGGGGAAATCAATCGATGAGATTATGAAGTCACATCGATTGAGGTAGCGGTTAGGATACTACGTAAAACGCCTTTCTCAAGTTGACGGTTGGTTTGAACCAGTTACTACAAAAAAGCAGGTGTAGACTGCCTTAGTTGAGATCCTTGGAGTTGTTAAGATCCATTGGCTAAAGACTATTGGTGATATTGGCTCAAGTAGAGAAAGAATAAAGAACTTCATCTCCGAAGGAAACACTTATAGTCAACAAAGCCAAACAACATTCATCGAATTATTGTTAGAAAGGGAAGAAAGAAGGAAACTGCAGCACGTTCGCCATCGATGATCACGATTCTTGGCCATATCCGATAACGTTTCGAGTCATCGGTTCAAGCTATTCTCAGACTCCAACCACGGAGTCATGACGCGTCAAGCGATGCTAACCTACCACAAATATCCCTCACCCCACGACGTCACATCATGGGCCGATCACCTCCCCGCATTTTCCATCCCGTCCCAGGGCTAGCAAACAGAGACCTGTACGGAAGTCTTTGGGATGATACCCGTAGCGCATATGTCTAAGCCAGAGAAGCCGGTGTTTACAGATGACAACACTCAACGAATAGTGATCTCCACTGTGTTCAAACACCCACGCTGCCAAACCTCAGAATTACTTACGTGATCTTGCCATCGAACGCAAGCAATCATACGGAGACAACAATGGTCGAATACGGCAGAGTAGCCGTACATCTTCAGCTCGGAGAGGCCAGGTTTCGCAGGCGTAGAGCAAAACTTCGCTTACTGAAGCATTATGAACCCGACCTGCGACAGCCAGGCTAACGTGGCGACGGTGCTAGAGGTGGCTTCTATTAGCGCATACCACGCTAGCTTTTATGGTACGGTCGGAAATCTTGTCCATCGCAACTACTAAAGTGTGTGGCGACCTGAACTGCCGCACATATGTGCAAAGTTCTATATCGAAAATAGCCAGATAGACAGGCAGACTCCAGTGCTAACGCAACTACCCGAATACAAGATTATACCGACAACTTCAGGCGATCCACCTGCAAGAGCGAGTGAAGGCACAGACTCCTGCCAACCGCGTGACAGTACTTTGCACTTCGACGGCGCAAAGCATATACCGCAATTACAGACACTGATTGCCAACTGATTTGGACAGATTGCATGCTATAGCACACAGTAAGACGATATCATTTGCTTTTGTTTTTAAATGGGAGACAGTTGCCTGTCTTGTGCCCAGCCTTCTTTTTTCTTCGGGCTTAATGCCGACTAGTAAAGTAAGCCAGATTTAGGAGTGGGTCAAACGAAAATCAAACCCAGATCTCCTACTTGGCTAGCGAGCATTTAATAGACCTAATTAGGTAAAATGAGATAGAATTTACCAAATATCATGTAATAACTGTGAGGTTATTTACATAAGTGAAACTAGTAGATCCATTCAGCTAGGCTACTAAAACAGACTAGCCCCTGCCTATTCTATTGTATTGATTGAGTGAAGTAAAAGGAACCACCAATGTGGTTACACCACAAGATGAGACTATATACAGTCCTAAATGTGGAAAAGGCTACAATAAGCGTTCACCTCTCTTGAAAACCAATGGGAATATCATTACGTTATAGTGGAAACCTCGCCCATTGGCTTAAACAGGCAACTTTTAACCAATGAGGCCCAAGTTCCGATCCGGCTTCATCGATTTCAGCTTGCGGCAATTAGGCAGCATTATTAGTCATTGATTACAGGATTTCATCATGAGTTGACATTAGCTAGAGAATCATTGGAAAACCAGCTGGGAGTACTGGACAGCTGTTTCGTCCTAGCCGGGACTCTTCATCAGTACGCACCCAGCAAAGTTCGAAGCCAGGACCCAACAAACCAACACCTGAATATCAATGAGATGCTTGCTGGCGACTGGCTCTATTCAGGTAGGTAATTACCTGGGGTTCTAGTGGAAAGTCGTGACCAGTAGGGTGCAGCAGGTCGGGTGTGAGGACAAATACTCGCCGAAGGTATTGGCTAGCGGTTGCGCTATATGGTGAATTGGCAGAAGTTAGAATTCATGGGCTTAATGGTCCAAGAGCTCGCCTTGTAACTAGAAGGTCCTGGGTGCGTACTGATGAACGGTCCCAAACCAGGACGAAACAACTGTTCAGTAATCCCTGCGGGTTTTCCAATGGTTCTCTAACTAATGTTAGCTCATGATGAAATCCCGTAACCAATTAATCAAATCCCTACAAGGGA